ATAAAACCCTAAGGTCAATATCGGCCAACGCGTAGCCCTAGGTCAACGCCGATCAACACGTTGCGATAAGAGTCAACGCCGATCGATATAAAACCCTAAAGTCAACATGTTGCGACTTAGATTATTAGTTCAAAAGTCAACTCAATGACACGAGCTAAAGTTAACCCACCAATTTCGATTCAAGATTTCGATAACGGTCAGACGATAAACGCAGTACCGGAAGAATTTTAAACTATTCAACAAAGTGATGAATAGGCTAAAATGCGGAGAAGTCACGAACTGAAGCCAGTTATAGGTCCTTTTACACCGATTGAAGGTGGGGGTCTATCATATCCAAAGCATTCCAGACTCCTCTATAAAAGAACGAGGCTGAAACACTTTGGAGGGGGTATCTGTAGGTGTCTAAAATTGCCTATGAAAGCCTGCACGAAATTCAAAGCCAAGAGTGGATGAGTCAAGAAGGTTTACCCAATCGGCTCACACGCGTCGGTCAACACGCGCGCGTCAACCAACTCGCGTGCGTCGGTCAACACGCGCGCGTCAATCAGTTCGTGCGCATCGGTCAACACACGCGCGTCAATCAGTTCGTGCGCGTCGGTCAACACGCGCACGTTAATCAGTTCGTGCTCATCGGTCAACATGTGCACGTCAATCAGTTTGTGCGTGTTGGTCAACACGCGCGTGTCAATCAGCTCACGCCGTCGGTCGACACGCGCGCGTCAATCAGTTCGTGCGCGTCGGTCAACACGGGCATGTCAATCAATTCGTGTGCATCGGTCAACACGCGTGCGTCAATCAGCACACGTACGTCAATCAGTTCGTGCGTGCCGGTCAACACACATGCGTCAATTAGGTCGCACGCATCAATCAACGCGTGCATGTCGACCAACGCGTGCAGCCCCAAATAGTCAAGGCGTTCGACGGTCAGTCCTGTAACGAAGCGTACAAGTCAACGAGTCGACCAAAGTAGCAAAAAGTATAAGTCCCGGAAAGAAAAACGCAAAAAGAGAAGAACTCAGCGGAGACGACGGACCTGCGCCAGTGCGGGACGACACAGGCCACCCGTGCCAGCGCGGGTCGGATCTGTCCGACCCCCGCAAGCGCGGGTCAGATCAGACCCGTGCAATCGTGGGTCAGACCCTGCTGACCCGTGCCCTCCACGAATCAGCAGAGTTCGTCGCTCTGTTTTGACCCCCGGACGTGTTTTTGAAGGTTTTAAAGCGGTTTTTGTAGGATTTATCTGTTCCAGGGGTTCCCATTTGACTTGATATCATCCACAAACATGGTTAGGCTGTTGTTAACTGAAGATAAGGCCAAATCACTCATTCTTATCCAAATAACCGTACCCAAGGCCTATAAATATCAGCCCAAGGCCTCCGTTTTGCAGATCTGGAATTTTATCAAGAGGACGAGGTGCTGCTGGATTGAAGAGTCAAGGAGCACAAAATTTTAGCAAAGGCCAACGAGATCCCGGCGAACTTCAGCACAAAGGAGAAGTCTTTCAAAGGATCCGAAGCCCCGTACGTTCGTTCCTTGAGATTATGCTTAGTCTTAATCTCGAGAAGAGCTACTGATTTTGCTTGGTCGATTTCAGCGCTTCAAGCAAATACTTCCTTGGTGAAGTAGGAGCTCCGTCAATTGTCCGATAACCGGATCCGATCCGTGGTCATCTACGGATAAACCCCGACATCGGCAAAGAACCAACGCAAGCAAGAGACAATAAACGAATCTTATGTTTATTTTCAAGAGAGTTGTAATTTTTATTTTTGTTATTTGAATTCATTTGTAAACGATTGAAGTTTTAATGAAATCAATGATGAAGGCGACTTTCAACGAAAATAACCCCAAACATCCGTGTGAATGTAGTCCAAGGTGCCCGTCATCCTGTGTACGGCTGTCCCGAACTTCATCTTTGTATTCTTGCTAAGAACGCAGTGCTCACAGAATTCTATCTTTCCACTCTTGGCTCCCTTCAATAACCCCTGCTTGTACAAAGCATGTAGTGACTTTTTACCTATGTGCTCTAATTTGTAGTGCCAAAGTCTGCTTGCGTCCGCCTCTGAAATAGCTGAAGCTACCTGACCAATCTCGGTGCTCCCCTTCAGATAATAAAGATTTCTATTGCGAACTCCCTTCATCACTACCAAAGATCCCTTAGTAACTTTTTCTACAACGTTCTCAAAAGTCATATTGAATCCCTTTATCTCCAAAGCTCCAACAGAAATAAGTTTTTTCTTCAACCGAGGAACAAATCTCACTTCATTCGGCTTTCGAACAACTCCATCGTATATCCGAATCCTGACGGTACCTATCTGACAAATACCACAAGATTGATCATTTCCTATGACTACCACACCCCTATTGAGCTTCTCGAAAGATGCAAACCAATCTCATCGGGGAGTCACATGATAAGTAGCACTAGAATCCAACATCCAATCCGATGCATTCGCATGGTTCACCTCTGGATTATTCAATAGAGAAAACCAGAAATCATCTGAATCATCACCTCTAGTGACATTCACCTCATTGGCCTTCGGGCCTTTCTTCTTGCTATTCTCCTTCTCTCTAAGCTTCAGACAATCTCTCTTCCAATGTTCTTATTCTTTGCAGAAAGCACACTGGTTCTTTGCTAATTGGTAGTGGCCTCTAGACTTTGACCTGCCTCTATTGCCACTTCTCGGATAGAGACTCCTTCCTCTCATCGACAAGGCCTCTCCTGAAATACTAGCTCTAAAAATCTCTTTGTCCTTCCTCATCAGATCGTTATTTGTCAACGCATTAGTCACTTTACTATATGTGATGGAAGATCTACCATTCAACAAAGTAAGCATGAATGTATCATACTCATAATCGGGTAAGGAGCCTAACAAAATAATCGTATTGTACTCATCCGTTATCTTCTCGTCAAAGTTCGCCAAGTCAGATAATAACTTTGTGTAGTTGTTCACTTGATTCGAAAGTGAGGTACCCCTGGACATCTGGAATCTGAATAATCTTCACGGCAAGTACAAACGGTTCTCAACACTCTTCGTAAGATATTTGTTATTGAGAGTCTCTCACATTTTCACTGTAGATGTCACGCTAATCACATCGTATTTCAACTCTTATTCCAAGCAAGACCTAATTAACCCACAAGCGTTTTAATTCATCTTATCCTATATCACCTCATCATATTTCGGTGGTCTCTCATGGACCATGATGGTCTCTTCCAAATTTTGAGCATTCAAAACGTTCTGTACGTCGCTCATCTAAAAACCTAAGTTGATTTTTTCGTCATACTTTACAACACTAATCTTTTATTCTGAAGTGCAATCTGAACTGTACTCATCATCGCCTTACTACTTTCACCAACTTCTTCTCCTATTACTAACTAAGTCTAATTGTAAAGAAAGATTTGAACTTGATAGAATTAAGAAATTACCCAACTAAACCCTAAGTAGGATTCCAACATGATCTCCTAACCACACGAGGAAAGTGAGATCTCCAACGATAACTTCTCAAAGCTATTTTCACCGAAGCCTAGATCTCCAAGACCCAAGCTTCAAATAATGAATCTTCCTCCACCCAATGCAAAACCCTAGATCTAAAAATCTAAGCTCTAATACCACTTGTTGCACTCCGTTCGGAAGCGTGCTCACGAACCAACCGAGTCGGTAAACGATAAGAGAAGAACCAAACACGAGTGCAATTCACAAACTTAACAACCAAAATCACACAAACACAGAGATTTACGTGGTTCGGCAAATTACCTACGCCCACGGGGAGAATATGGGGAGATTTTACTCTATGGAGGAGAAACAACGTGTTACAATCTCTCAAATAACTCTCAAAATAACCCAACCAATGATCTCGCACTCACTCATAATAATCTCCCTCACAAAACTGCTCAAAACAATGCTAATTCTCTAGTCAAGAAACCCTAAAAACATGTGTTTTTATTTATATCAAAACCCAATCCAAAACAGATCATGAAATCAATTCGGTCCATATCCGCTTTCCGATCGATCAGCCAGAGACAAATTCCAAATTCCTGTAATGTGCACATTTTCGGTCGACTGGTCGAACTCGTTCGGTCAATCAATCAGAGATAGGGTTTCAGATCCTGTAATCCAACAGGATGTTAGTCGACCGGGCCTATGCCGTCGGTCGACCAACCCGATAGAAACTTATAGTCTCTTCCCAGCTTCAAATTTTCTGTTTTCGCCACGTTTTCTACAAAAGAAGCTTGAAAGTGAAGATGCCCGCCACGTATGTTTTTCAAAGTGAAAAGATGATATCTTCTCCGATGCAAGCGAGCTAGCTGTACTATGCGGTGTCCACATAGCAAGCTGGCTAGACTCGCTCGGGGCTTACCTCACTCCTTCGGCGGCCTTGAGATACTTGATATACATACTACTATTGAAAAACAGATTTAGTAAATTTAGTTATTTACTAATGGTGAATTAAAAAAAGTATAAAAATAACAACTTTGCATTACTAAAAATGTAGAAGATAAACATAACCAACAATGCATGTCAGCCACTCAACTTTTTAATGATTACTTCGACCAACTCAAAAAACTTGCCCCTTTTAGAAAATGGTTGCATTATAAATATAGAAAGCATTTCACCTGTTCATTAAATCCCTACGCTCTGACTTTTTTCTCATATCCAATACATTGACTCTAGACACTTACAGGTCAATGCCAATTAAAAAAAACCCCCCCCCCCCTAATTAATAAGAACATTACAACCAATCCAGTAACAAATTTCGTCAGAACATCCCACAGGCTAGCGGGAGGTTCTGATCCCTTCACTTGGTGGTGGTTAAATCTCAACCATCCAATGGTAATTAAGGTAATGATTGAGATTCTGAGCATTTCACTCACATGTGAAATCCCTGATTAGTATCAAATTACAGCTAATCACATTCCCAATCACATCATTACATCCTCTCTTCTCTTCTATATAAAGAAAGGAAAAAGAAAACCCAACTAGAAATCCTAGCTACTCTAGACCACCATGGCAAGAAAAAAGAAGACCACTATGGGCAAGCAGAAGATTGAGATAAAGAGGCTGGAGAGTGAAGATGCTCGCCATGTGTGCTTTTCAAAGCGCAAAGTTGGCATATTCTCTAAGGCTAGCGAGCTCGCCACACTGTGTGGAGCTCGCGTGGCAGTCCTGTTGGAATCCCCCGTAGGCTGGCCCCACTCCTTCGGCAGCCCAAATATGGGTCAAGTTGCAGATCAATATTTATCAGGCCGCAATGATTATTACTTGGGCCTGAATGAGGCCCAGAGGTTGAGCAAAGTCCAGGAGCTCAACAAACAGTGCATGGAGATATCAGCCCAATTGGATGCGGCTAAGAAAAAGAAAGCCCATTTTGAGGAGAAGTTGGAAAAAATTGTGGAAGTGAATGAGTTTGCTAGAAAATGTGAGCATTTGGAGGAGCTTAGTTTAGCGGAGCTTGTAGAGATGGAGAAGGTCTTGTATGAGCTTAGAGAAAACATTCGGTTCAAGATCTTTAGGGATATGACTATGAATCAAGGAGCAACGTCCTCTACCAATGGTGCGTAACCTCTTTAAACATTTTTACATGGTTTTTTTTATTTTTCATTTTATGGTTGTGTGTGTTTAGTGATTAATGATTTTGTCATGTATGACAGTGAATGCTAATATGATGTTAAACCCATTCGAGAATGGAGGTAGATCAAGCCGGATTTAGTAGTAATTTTTTTATTTTGTTTTTTAAGAAAATTTTATGTAATTATATGTATTTTTAGAGAGTAATATTATTGGTATATATGGCAGGAAACCATGGTATGATGGTGAACTTGTTTGAGCATCAAACTGGGTTAAGTGGTAACATTTGATGTTTAAATGTTGTTTTGATTAGTTTGATGTTTTGATTATAAACCTTGTGGTTTTTATTTAATTTGATTTCTTTTCTTTTCTTTTTCATCAAGAAAATCCATTTACCATGAACTTCTCGGACCTTGGAGCGAATCAGTCAGGTTCAAGTACTGGTCAAGGTATAGACATTGGTTATTTTATTTATAGTCTAAGGTATTGATTTTGGCAATTAAATTGTATTTTTCTGTGGAACCGAAGGCAAGAGAGTTTTTTTTTCTGAGTGTAAATAGACTGATTTTTGTTAGATTAAGTATAATAGAGGAAATTTTCCAAAACTTTTAACCTACTTTAGAATTTTGCTATAAAACTTTATATGGCATATGAGTTAAACTTTTCAAATAAATTATTATATATTTTGATGAAGAATCCTTAAATCGCCAGCTGTCTAATAGTTAGTATACACAAAATAGTGCTTAGAGCTTATTTTTCATCATGATTCACGTACTATAAAAGATAGGCCGCATTTGTAATGACATGTAGACTAATATAAATTTCTTAAGATTTAGCTAACTATTGTCCTAAAAAAAATGATTACTAAATTTGTCGACACATCTTTCTCTTCTTCTTGGCAATCGCTCTTAAGGCAATGATTAGAAAAAATAATTTATTAATGAGGACTAAAACCCTTGAGGAGAGTGAATCGAGATTACAATTGTTTCAATAATTACTCACAATTACTTTCATCCTTCCACTTTTAGATCAGTAGAAAGCTCTTTGCCCTTTTAGTTTAGTGAATTATTGTTCAGCCAAAATTTTGTTTTAAAGAACTACTTCCTTAATTTTTTTTTTATTATAACATGGTAATTGTAGTATTTACTGTTAGGATTTTAGAACCGTCGACTATCGGTCAATAGCTAGCGTATCCAAGATTTTTTTTCCTAGTAGTATCTTATATTACTCATTATGATTAAATTTGGAATTTATATTGGTAATTTTGCAATTTTCATCCCCTTAGTGTCTTACTCTAATTATAGTTATGCACTAAGTAGTATATATATATATATATATAAGAGCAATATGAAAGAACTTAGTACCAAACACAAGTTTTTGTGCTTGATAGTGAGGTAGTTCATTCCCATCTGCCCATTCAAATGAGGGATCACATTCATATTGGTTGAAGAGTGAATAAGAATGAGACACCTCACTACCAAACAAAAAAATTATGCTTGATACCAAGTTCCTACATTTCTCTCTCTCTCCCTATATATATATATATATATATATATATATATGCTTGATAGTGAGGTAGTTCATTCCCATCTGCCCATTCAAATGAGGGATCACATTCATATTGGTTGAAGAGTGAATAAGAATGAGACACCTCACTACCAAACAAAAAAATTATGCTTGATACCAAGTTCCTACATTTCTCTCTCTCTCCCTATATATATATATATATATATATATATATGGTATCATATAGTACTATATATATATAACCACAATGGGTTGCTCAGATGCGCGACCAGCATGAAAACAAGCCAAACTTGACTAGTTTCCTTGTTGTGTTTTTCTTAGGTTTCTTTTGGATACCATGGTGTTTTCCTTGGGCTTCTTTTGGATACCATGGTGTTTTTCTTGTTGTGTTTTTATTAAAAAAAACACCATGATGTTGTGCTTTTCCCTTAAAGTGTTTTCAAAATATCATGTTGAATGTTTTTGTTCAAAGTTAGTTTGACCTATTACAACGTTAGTATTAAACATATTATTAATATATTATACATTAATTGTAATAAAATATATTATAAATAAAATATCATAATATTCAATTTATATTAATATTATTATAAGTATTAATATAATATAATATAATATAATGTATTATAATATTATGTTGTACTTTAATGAGTTATATTATTTTATAATAATTATTATATTATAATTATTACATATTATTTTCAAATAACTATATATCAATTAATTTGGTATATCAATTTGTTATTGTTATATATTATATAATGTTTTTAAAATAATATTATTTTATTAATGATATAATATTATACTACTATTAATATAATATTTACCTATTGATTATTAGATACACCCACTAATAAAATTTTTAATAATGTTAGTGATGTGAGTTTTAATTATACAATATATTATTAATAAACTTTGCACTATATTTACAAATCCATTTTTATATCCAACTCCAATATCATCCCTATAGCTTTCTAGGATATGTTAGAGTTTTAATAATACTGTTTAATAATTAATATATTAAAACAATATTATTATATCTATAAAGTATATTACTTTTACATTAACATTACGGTTAGAAGTAAATTATTTTGACTTTTTATAGTATATAAACAATTAGTGTATAATATATTAATATTTTATATTATATTTTTAATGATTATGATTATTTTATAATTATAACTATATTATAATTATTACATATTATGTTAAAATAGATTATAAATTTAATATTAGTTTGCTGATATATCAAATATACTATTTTGCTTATATTCATACAATTGGAATATTATTTAAAATTTATATATGGTATTTTATTAACTCCACTTACATTTATCCTCAATAAAACTTTCATATATTTCACATTTATCCTTTAAATAATATAAATACATCTATAGTTTCATTATATTATGCGTTAGAGTTTATTAATAATACTTTCATTATAAAGGTTATATTATATAATACATATTATTATATTGTAAATATATATTTTTACATTAACATTAGTAGCCCCAGCTAAATTATTTTAGTATTAAAACTTATCTTACTTTAAGCTATATTAAATTATTTAGTGATAATATATTAAATTTTTATCTATACATTAATGAGTTATATTTATTATAATTATATTATATTATAAATTATTTTATAATTATAAAATATACATATTATGTTCAAATAATAATTATAGATTTAATTATTTTGGGCCTATAACATATTATTATTGTTATATATTAGATAATATTTTTAGTTATTTATATTATTTCATTAATGCTACATTATGTTAAAAGTCATATTATTTACAAATATTTTTAAAAGATAATAATATAACTACATTATAGTTATTAATCATGTTAGAGTTTATAATTAATTATATTAATAATTTATTGCATATAAATCAATATTATGTAATTATAAATCTATACTACTTTTACATTTATTATTACGCTTAGCAGGTAATTATTTAATATTTAAAATTATTTTATTTATATTAGCATATTAAATTATTTGTGCTATAAGTATATTAATATTTTTTATTATTTATATTTTAATGATACTTATATTCTTATTAATATTTCTGTAACATTCATCGAGGGCTTCGACAGATTTCCGGTCGCTTTTACACGGTAAGGAGTGACATGCGCCGACTCAGATTCTCACTACTAACTGGTGGAGTCCGATATTTATTGAAGCTGTGGTTCGTCCTTCATCGTTTCTGACATTCGATGTCCCAGATAGCACGCATGGAGCCATTCTTTCCCTTACTCAGCTGCCCTTCGAGTAATATAATGGGGTGGCCCAGGGCAGAGGATTCCTTGATTCAAGGAGTCAGTACGGTCACCAGTGTGGCGTCAATTATATTATAATCTATTACCATACTTATGTTCAAATAATCTACTAATTAAGTTATTGTGTATATTAATTTGTTGATTGTTTATATACTTATATAATATTTTTTATTTTATATGGATTTATTTACATGCTACATTATTAATAAATTCATATGTTTATTCAAATACTTTAATAATTTATGATATTAAATCAATAATAAAGATATTGTAAATATATTATTTACATTGAACATTTACGTTACGCCAGTAAATATTTTAGTATGGTAAAAATTATTTTACTTTATCAATATGATTGAAACTTATTTAGCTGATTAATAGTATTAATATTCTAGTTTAGTATTAGACTTTAATGAGTGTATATATTTTATATAATATTATATTATAGTTGTTAGTTATATATAATTCATTACAGAATTGTTCAAATAATTATATATTTAATATAATTCGGTATACAATTTGTATCTTATATAATATATAATATTTTTTAAAATTATATTATTTTTATTAATATAATATAATATTATTGATAATATTAATTTTAATTTATTACTACTATATTTTTAATAAATTATATATAATAAATATTTTAATATTATATAATATATTATAGTTTCTAATATGTTAGAGTTTATTAATAATGTTATAATAATTTATGATATAAATCAATATTATTATATCATGAATATATTATTTTTACATTATTATATTTTTTATAAATTATTTTAATCATTATATATTTATATTGTTTTATAAATATTACTAATATATTAGATTAATTATAATATAATATAATATAATATAATATAATAAGTATGTTGATAATAACTATATATTAATTATATTTAATATATTATGTTAAATAGTATATTAACATCTCCTCAAACTCAAAACCAAAACACCAAACTTAAAACACGTAAAAAATGTTTTGAACTATGTGTTGCGTTTTTGGTTTGAGGATGATTTAGCTCAAAAAATACCATGGTTTCCAAACGCATGATGTTTTTTTTTTGGTAAAAACACCATAGAAACAAGTAAAACACCATGGTATCTAAACATAGCCTTACGATGATTTAGTTTCTAAATTTTTCCTTATGTTTCAAAATGAAAAGATTTGAATTCTAAAACTCTCAAATAGTAGGTTTTAGCATGAATAGTTCACTTTCAAATATGGATTATTGGAATACATTCACCAAATTGCAAATAGTACACTGTGATATAACATATCATATTCGACTGAGTCTTAAAAATTTGAAGCAATATGGCATTTTAAGACGTTTATTTCTTGGTGTGCTTCTTATCAATTTTCATTTGATTGTTTATTTTTAGGGAATCCCGCAGATAATGTGAGCCTAAATGAGCCTGAACCAAGTCAGCCTGCAACAAATGATACCATGGGGCCTGGCCATGGATTTTACTGAATAATGCCTTAATTTTGGCAATGAGCTAATATGTTTTCTCAGACTCCATGAAGCCTAAGATATTCCATAAAACATATTTGCAATAAATACAAAGTTGGAGATGTGATTAATGTTACATTGATTGTAATAATATGTGTGTTTGCTTCATTTGGAAATTTTGGCCTCTTTTGACAGCTTATTTGGAATTTATGGCAATTTTTTCACAGTGATGGACTTGGAAGGTTTAAGCCTCTATTTTGTTTGAAATTTTGGATATAACCTCCAGAAATTTTGCTTATTTCAGAAAGCTCTTCATAATCTAAATCTTTTACATTCGTCTACTTAGAAAGTTATAAGTAATTTTGAAACAATTCCCAAGTAATTGAAATGCCCTCCCTCTGAATCCTTTTATTATTACTTTTAATTCTTGAAGGTAACTTAGTACTTTATGGCGGCGATATGCAATAACTCAACTTTTTTTTTTCCATATTTATATCAAAATACCAAGAGTCCAACCGTAATAAAAATAAGGCAAAAGCTCATTGGAGGTCTCTGATGTATCAACAATTATCAAATAGGTTCTTAATATTTGGAAGTCATCAGTGTGGGTCCTTAACGTTACCTTTTTTTTGGTCAATGAATTAAAGTTTTATTCATCTTCCAAGTGTGTAAAAGTGTTGTACATCAAAAACCAGGATTGATATAACCTGGCAAACAAGAAGCTGAAATTACATAGTTACAACTTCACTATCATTTCTTTCATATGTGCAGGAAAATCTTCGTTCAAAATTTTAGAAAAGATGGAAAGTTTGATAGCACAGAAGAGAGTACCAGAACCCCTTGTTTTCCCCTGAAAGATTCTGACATTCCTCTCTTGCCAGATTAAGTAAACAGCCACTGATAGAGCCATTCTTTTCAAATTCTTCTTGAACCATTTTCCTTTCAAACAGCTAGAGTACTATCTACTGAGTTAATCCCAAGCACAGGTTCTCCATGTAAATCCTATCCAATCCATTACATTGTTCCATACATCAGCAGAGTACTAACATTCAAAAAACAAATGCTTGCAATTTTCCGGTTGTCTAGAACACAGGACACAACAATTAGTGCTAAGAATTCCAAAACGAGACAGCCTTTTCTGAGTGAGAAGCCTGGAATGATAGGCTAGCCAAAGAATGATTGAATGCTTAGGATAATTCAGCCCCCCCAGGTTGTTTCAGCCCAATTTATTGGAGAAGAGGGTTGAGTTAGAATATTGTATACCAGAGATAGCCGAAGTTTACCATTGATACTGCACCTATTAAGAGTGTTCAGCACATTATCTGCATTACCATACTTAGCTAGGATCATGTTTCTAGTTTTGAGGAGTTGCTTCCACATCCAAGAGTCATTCTCTCTCTGTTGAATTTGCCAAACACTTGAATTTTGTAGATAGTGGCCATGGATCCATTTGATCCAGAGAATGCCATTCTTCTGATGAATCATCCATAGTAACTTCACAGCAGCTGCTTGGTTCCATAATTTGGCTGAAAACAGACCCAAGCCACCCTGTTTCTTACCCAGGCATACTGAATCCTAAGATATTAAGTGAATTTTCTGGCTCCATAAAAAGGATGAGCAGAGACTGTCAATTTTTTCAAGAATCTTGATCGGCAGAATATAGTTGCTGAACCAGAAAGTTTGTATCCCCAGGTTGACTGATTTAATCATTTGAATTCTCCCCGCATAGGATAGGTTCCTATTTTGCTGCCAGCTTTGAAATTGATTGGTAATTTTGCTTATAAGAGAAGAACACTCAAAGTGTGTTATCCTTCTTGTTGTCAAAGGCAGCCCCATGTATCTCATTGGTAATACACCCTCCGAAAAGCTCAAATATGTGCAAATTTGGGATTTTAGATTATCTTCAATACCACTCAAATAAACTGCACACTTACTGGGATTGGTTTCCAATCCTGATACTTGGTAGAATTCTTACAAGCAATTGTTTAGTCTAGTGATTGAGCTCATATCAACTTTGCCAAACATTAACAAATCATCTGCAAAAATTAGATGTGTTAACTTCATTTTAGAACATTTTGGATGAAATTTGAACCTTCTGTCTTCCTTAAACAACTCTAGTCTTCTTAACAGGTATTCCATGGCTATCACAAAAAGATGAGGGGAGAGAGGGTCTTCCTGTCTCAGGCCTCTAGCACCATGGAAGTAGGCATGCAAATAGCCATTGAGGGATAGAGAAAATTTTGGAGAGGTGATACACTCCCAAATCCAACCGATCATGATTTCATGGAATCCCAGACCCTCAAGCATAGCCTTGATGAAACCCCAATTCATAGTATCAAAAGCCTTCCTTAAATCCACATTTATAATGGCTCTGGGAGATATATGTTTTCTCCCATAGTGCTTAATGAGCTCATGAGCTAGAAGGAAATTACTTGAGATGAGTCTTCCTTTAAAATATGCACTTTATGCATCATTAACCAAGAAACCCATGATATTTTGAATCCTGTTAGTAATAATCTTTGTAATGATTTTATATATAATATTGCAGCATGCTATTGGTCTGAAGTTAGATGCTGAATTTGGATTGAGGACTTTGGAAACCAAGGTAATGGTTGTTGAGTTTAGAGCACCAAGAACTTTACCTGAATTAAAGAATTTCTCAACTGCCATGTATATATCTTCATTAATGACTTCCCACGCAGCCTTGAAGAAGGAGGCACTAAATCCATCTGGGCCTGGGGCTTTACCATCTGGCATTGTGAAGACAGCTTGTCTAATTTCCTCTCTGGTGACAGGTTTGCTAAGCTCATTACGTTGATTAGAGGAGAGAATTGGCCCTTTAGAGATAACCACAGGATCGGGAGGTGAAGTGTGTATTGTAGTTCCAAGCAATTTTTTGTAGTATTAAATGAATTCAGAGATGATGTCTTGTGTATTTGTAATCCTGATACCATTTTCAGTGTATATAGACATCACTCTATTGAGGTGTCTTTTGTTCTTCATGACAGCATGGAAGTATTAGGCACTCTTATCACCTTGTAATCCCCACTTGATATTAGCTTTTTGCCTGTAAAAAGAAATTTCACAATCAAGTAACTTTGTGTATTTTCTAATGTGCTCCTTTTCCCTGGCAATCAGACCTGGATTAAAAAGGTCAGAACTCAGTTGAGCTTGAATATCATACAGCTCTGCTTTAGCTCTGGATACCTGTTCACTAATATTCACGAAGTGTCTTTTATTCAGTTCTTTGAGCACATGTTTGAGATTTTTGAGCTTGCTTTGCACCTTGTACATGTTATATCCAGAGATATGCTGATTCCAAACTGAGCTAACTGCTGGTAGGAAGTCTGGGTGTTTAGTCCATTTAGAAAAGAATTTAAATGGTCTCTTGCCTTCACAATTCCCTTCATCTCCTATTGTTAACAACCCTGGGGAGTGATCAGAACAATAAGGCATCAGAAAATCCACCTGGCTTGATGTATATTGGAAAATCCAATCATCATTGATTAGAATTCTATCCAATCTGCACCAGACTCTTGTAGATGCATCATGTTTGTTACTCCAAGTAAAAAAACATCTAGTGGATTTAATATGCTTTAATTGGCTTGTATCAATAAAATTCTGAAAGTCTTCAACCTCTGAATCTGTTATTTGAGCCCCACCTAGCTTCTCTTCACTATTAAGTATGGCATTGAAGTCACCTCCTACTAGCCAGGGTCCTGAAACATTCCTTTTGAAAGCCATAAGATCTTCCCAAAGAAATTTTCTACCTTCCATATGATTGAGAGCATATATGGTAGTAATTAAACACTTTAGCCTTCCATCTTTTGATTCCACATTACATGTAATGTATTGATCAGAACTATTGATATTCTGGACAGTTAGGTAATTACTATCCCAAAGAATCCATATCCTAGCTTTGTTAGCAGTGTGATGCACATTAGAAGTCCATTTCCAATCTTTAGTAACTTTTTTAGCAATGATCATCATTTTCTCCTTGGACACTTTGGTTTCTAAAAGACCAAAGAAGGAGATTTTATAATCCTGAATGAACTGCTTAACTATCAAGTGTTTAGAGGATTTATTAATCCCTCTAATATTCCAAATGGCTAAATGCATTTATTAGGAAATACCACCCCTTTCATTACTATAGGGGTCTAAATCAAGTATCTGGTGTTACAAACTTGAGAAATGTGATGCATGGATTGAATTGCCAGACTCTTTAAAATTGATTCTCTTAGCTGCATTAGCTCTGGTGACACTAGTAAAACCAGTAGTATTGATAGTGGGAGAGTAATGAAGCTCCCCTAAGAATTGACCCCCAGCCAGTACCTTTGACTGTGCAGCTAAACTAGAAACCCTTGACATGTCAATAGGACTCTGAGTGACAAATCCAAATATATCTGACCTATCTCCAGCTTCAAAATTCTTTGTAGACCTAAGGGGTGACTGAATTATAGTATCAGCAACAACTTGAGACTGTGCATGTTTCATAACATCCTATGCATGTTTTGCACTTGAGCTTTCATTTACCCCAGAGACAGAGTGAGGTAACTGAATTACAATATCAGCAGTAATAACTTGAGACTGTGCATGATTCATAACATCCTGTTCATGTTTTGCATTTGAGCTTTTATATTCCCCAGTATCAGAGCTTTTATGTGCAGTAGTTCCAACATCTAAACTCCTCACATCAACATTGTGTTGTACACTTTTTTCTTGTGCAACTGGATTCACAGCATGATTTTGGGCATTTTGCCTGCTTACAGGAACCCAAGTTTTTGTTTTATTCCTTCTACATTGATCAGTTTCATGTCCAAGTTTATTACATGATGTACACCATCTTGGTTTGAATTCATATATCACTTCCTGAGCATAACTCCTACCATCAGGATCTTGAATTACTACTGGATCAGGTAAGGCCTCTTTCAAGGGCAAGTTCACTTCTATTAGAACTCTTGCGTAGCTTAACCTTTGCCTAGTAGCAGTAAGTTTATCTGTTGATATAGGTTTACCAATGA